ATTTCATCAATATTGAAAACATCATTTTCACTGTATCCTTGAAGTAAATTTGGTAACGTTTCATTTAACCACTGTTCACATACTTCAAGAGGGACAGCTTTAGCTTCTCCATGAAGAGTGCGAAAGACATTGTGTGTGTGTTGCAAAGGAAGGGGCAAGATATCAGCTCCAAGTTTTTTTTCCCTTGCTTTAAAAGATCCAAAAAGAAATCGAATTAAAAGAGTAAAATTCGAGTAATCCAGAATAATTAACACGAAATTGAAGATAAAAGGGTCGGGACCTCATAAAAAAATTGAGTTATAGTAATATTCGAGTTATCGTACTTCGAGTTATAGCGAATTGACTGTATTATCGAAGAAATGCTTGTCATTATACTTAATATATTGTTTTTCAAATGCTACATGCTCAATTAAGATCTATCAATTTTTTTTCCTAACACCAACATTTTACTATTTTAAAAGTATCATGCTTCACTAACAGTTTATGCTAACATTCAGCCAGGAACTGATTTAAAATGACAGCATTTTATCTTTATGAACGCATTTTATGTTTCGATGCTCTAAGCTGTAATAACTCTGAAATTTTGCAAAATAAGTTGGTGATTTTTCCAATAGTAAGCAATTAACTTTATTTATTAGCATATCAATCAAATGATTTAAAGTTTTGTTAAACTGATTAGTATAACCTTTTAAAATACTTGATGGAAAAGTATTATCTAACTGATTATTTTAAAATTATCAACTCTTCATCTTTACAGTACCTTTAACTCGCAAAAAAGATATAAACAACCAAGTTTGAATAAATTCAAAATAATTGAGTTGTAAGACATAACCTCAGGAAAATTAGTAACATAATTTTGTAAAAACAAGCTAGCGACTAATTCCCTAATCAGTCACTAAAATCCAAATAGAAAGCACCCAAACTCAATCTTAATTAATCCATGGATTTAAAACTTTGATTATTATATTTTTTAGGGAGTGCATTTTAGAAAATCTTTAGACTAGTATTATATGGGTTTAGTAGGCTTTTAGTACGTATGTTTAGGCACTTTCTATGCATTTTTAGAAAGAAGCAGTAAATTATAGAAAATGGAAAAAAAAGAGAAAAATAGTGAATCTGAAAAAAATATGTGTTTAAAATAATCCTGAATCATTAAGCGAATATAGCTGAACATAATAAAACATTCTATTAAATAAATATTTTAGGTAAACTACAAAATACTTAAAAAAAAAGAGAATTGAAGAAAATAAATTTGTTTACAGATAAAGTGAATAAAGATAATTTATAAACACAAACCAGCAGACCAGAAGAGCTTAATGCAATCAGCCAGTGATTAGAAAATCCAGCACAGTCGGCAGCTATGCCAAGCAATTGTGATATCAAAAATAATCTGTTGTAACCTATTAACCACTTCAAACAGTTGCAATTAATAAGTTCAAAATTTAAACTTAGTTTTTTTCTTAAAACAAAACTTAATACTTTCACTTTAAATAAGATAAGAATTATGTGATAAAATGATCAAAGTAAAAACAATCATACCATGTCTAAAAAAAAATCCACATGAGGCCTTTTATGAACAAAGAATCTCACAGGGTGGCGGTCAATGGTAACCTAAAAAAAACAGCCAATTTTAAACTATTTAAAATCAATAACAAAATAACATTTATTAGGAACTCAATTTTTACACTGCAAAACTTAAAACTTCTTAAAAGGACGCCATACCATGGAAGAAAATTTTCCTCGCAAATTCGCTTTCTCCTTTATTACTAACTTAAAAAATGAAAAAGTAAGTTTAGGCAAGCCTAGAGTAAGTCATGAAGTTTCAATTGCTGAAAAAAAAAATACTTCGAAATATTAAAACACAAACAAATTATTAGAAGATAACTTCTCCGCCACGTAATCCTAAGTTATCCCATAATTTATTTTCATTTGCTTATTTTAAAATTTTCTTTTCAGCATTTGAAACTTCATGGCTTACTCTAGGTTTGACTGAACTCACTTTTTTTGCACTTTAAATTAGTAATGAAGGAAAAAGAGAATTTGTGAGGAAAATTTTCTTCCATGGTATGGCATCCTTTTAACTGATTTTAAAACTTTAATAAATTTTTTTAAAACTTATTTAAAAAATAACATTTATTAGGAACTCAATTTTTACACTGCAACACTTAAAACTTCTTAAAAGGACGCCATACCATGGAAGAAAATTTTCCTCGCAAATTCGCTTTCTCCTTTATTACTAACTTAAAAAATTTAAAATAAAATGAAAAAGTAAGTTTAGGCAAGCCTAGAGTAAGTCATGAAGTTTCAATTGCTGAAAAAAAAAATACTTCGAAATATTAAAACACAAACAAATTATTAGAAGATAACTTCTCCGCCACGTAATCCTAAGTTATCCCATAATTTATTTTCATTTGCTTATTTTAAAATTTTCTTTTCAGCATTTGAAACTTCATGGCTTACTCTAGGTTTGACTGAACTCACTTTTTTGCACTTTAAATTAGTAATGAAGGAAAAAGAGAATTGGCAAGGAAAATTTTCTTCCATGGTATGGCGTCCTTTTAACTTATTTTAAAACTTTGTCCAGAAAAAACCTTTCTTTTCAAATAATTTTTTTCCCCCGGGATCCCCACGATAAGTAAATGAATGACGGATGACTAGATTTTTATGACTTAAAAAGAATCTGCATACAAATAACAATAAAAAATTCTACATTAAATGCACATTAATAATAAAAAAATAATCAAATTATTTTGATCTTAAATTTAGACAGACTCAAATATGTATATTAAAGAAAACAAGTGTTAAAAAATCTGCATCTTATTGATAAATGAATTCCTTGGATCTGATATTTAGTCATTAATTTGGATAACTCCTATCACATTAACATACATACATACTAGCAAATTAGTGAAATTAAATTATACAACCTGGTAAGGCTTGAGTGATTGAAAATACTTAATTAAAATCACTGATTTAAAATCAATTTACAAAAATCCAATGATTTTAGTTTGAGATAAGCAAAATTATTTATTTAGCCTTAAGAAAAATATATAATTAATTTTTAAAGCACAAATTTGAGATATAGATTACAGTTCTTTTCCATTTTGCCAGCACTAGTGATAAAGTTGAAAATGAAAAGTCACCACCAAGTCAATGCAAATTCAACTTCTTTTTATAATTTTTTTTTTCTTCTTAATTTTATTTTCGGTGATGTTTCTTTACTTACTAAATCCTAAAGAAATAATAAAAATAATAATAACTGAATTTATTTACACCAGCAAAATGGACAAGTACCTAGATTACTTTTATGTATTTATTTTATAATATTTATGTTACTATTCGAAAACAGGCGAAAAACATTTTAGATTAATCTTTCAAAAGAATAAGAGATCAATTTTATAAAAAAAATGGGAAAGAAATGTGTATTTAAAAATAAGATATAAAAAAAAAAGAAATTTATTCAGAATAGTATTTTCAAAAACTAAATTAAAATTACATTATTGCAGCATGTAGAGACATTTTTTCTTTAAAAGTTGCTCTCATTAATAAAATATATTCATGATAGTTATTTTACTTCCTTTTCAAGAAATAAAAATACTAATTTACATACTTTAAAAAAATATAAAGGACGTGAAAACTTTATTTAACAATTTATAATTAATTTCAAAATAAGAGTAGACTAACAATCAAAACTACATCTAATTTTTTTAATGAAAATAATAATCCATTAAAAATAAAAATGTTGTAGTAAGATTAAAAAATTTCTCTCTGTTCATCATCAAAATTTTATATTTTAAAATATATATATGTTTCTTTCTCTCCAGTTTGAAAATATTTTTAAATTATTGCTATTAGTGTTAAAAAAACTTTGCTACAATTATGTATTTCTTAATAGAAATTACAAATTAATTATTAAAATGTTATTTCATTTAAATTAAAAATTAATTATGATTCTAGGCACATATTTATGAGATCACTGACACGTTAATCACTAATGTTAGTGTCTACAGCACTGAATGTTCTATTACATATACGCATTTCATAATAACTAAAGCTAAGCAAGTAGATATTTAAACTATTAGATAAAACTACTTACCTTTAAAACGAAATCCGGAGGTGTGCCAGGCTTAACCATTTGTCTAATTACCCCATCATGGTGCGAGTGAATCAACGTCTCATCAAGATCTAAGACTAGAATCTTGCGTTTGACCAAACCTATAAAACAATTAAAATTATAAAAAAATAAAAACACAACTAGTAAAAAATATTCATACAAAACATTGAAATTTGATATATAGAAGTAAAAAGATCCACATTGCTACAAAAATCTTTTGCAAAAATAATTACAAAAGTGCTGACAAAAAATAATACTTCATGACTTGTGGTTTTGTTTGTAATTTTAATGCCTAGTAAATCTGAATTTTGATGTAAAAGACAAAAGTTTCAAACCTTATAATCAGCTGAACCAGTGGCACAATGTGACTAAGTAAAAAACAGAGCTGTACGTCTAGCCGACCAGTACTATTACATATAGTGTTTCTTATTGTAAAAATACTATACACGCTTAAAACTTACTCAATCCTAATTTTTAACCTTTTTTTTAAATAAAAATAGATTTTTTTTTTGTTCTTCAAAAGACTTTGGAGTAAGTATTGGTTAAAAGAGACTAAAATAGCATTGTGATGATAATTTGTCAGAATATTAATCAGTTTATTCAAAAATTTCATATAGCACAACAATTTTTAAAATCAGCTTCTCAAAAATTACTAAATTAAAACTACAAAAAGTACTAAATATAAGAATAAAAATTCCTAATATAAAGTTACTGGTTCTTTGGATCCGTAAACCTAAAGATATAATATTGGAACAAAGACAACATGGGTCACACATTTCAAGTTTAACAATAAAGGCACAGTTTTATTAAGTGAAATTTTTCGTTCACATTCTTTTAATGAAAATAGTAAACTTAAATATAAATTTTAAAACCATTATAAACAAATAGAATATAAAAAAATTAATATAAATGCATTACAAAAATGAATGGATAAGTTATAAAATAAAGCTAATAAATTTTAATTTAACAACTTTTATTAATAACTATTTTATTTGGTAACTTCTTGCGTTGGAGCAGTAAATCAACAGCAAATTTGTTGAGTTTTGGCTTTTTAGGCAGAAAATGCATTTGACATCTCACTTTTATAAATTTGATAAATGAATTAATTACTTTTTAATAATTTATAATATAAGGATGAACATTAACCTTTTTTTTTTTGCCTTCACAGGGGCTATTTGTTTAGGTTGGTAGTTCTGAGAATCATAGTGAATTGTTTATTTTGGTAAGTGACTGTTTTAATGGCATGGGATTAAATGATCACTTACGATTTAATATTGCTTCAAGAGATTAACCAGATAAAAATGGTGTCAAACATTTATTTGATAACAAGGCTAGATATTTCATTATTTCCAACTTTACAACAGAATACAATGTTTTTAAAGTTTAGGAAACAAATAATATAAAAAGCAAACATTTTAATGTAAATTTAAAAATTTATTGTAAATCTGTATGCAATTTACTATTTGAAGAATAACCTCTATTAAAACACATACATATTAACCATGTTGATGTATAGACAGATGGTAAACTTATAAAGTGGCAGTTACAGGTTTCAAATAATTATCACAAGAAGAAAACACACAGCTGTAAATTTCTTTGCTGAAATTAGCAATTTAGAAAGCAAGATTAATAATATCATAGAATTACCAATGAACTTACTTAATCTATGCTTGGACAAAGGCGAAAGAGGTAATACATCATACTTTACAGTTTGATGCTGGATGACCTACAAAATGTTAAAATATGTACATTAAAATAAGTTAATTGTACTTAAAATAAATAAATAAAAATTATACATACGTTAAATGTTTGACAAACAAAATAGCACTAAAATACAGAGTAGTCAATTAGTGACATAATTAGAAAACAATGCTGAATGAGGACAATGTTGAAATCACATTAAAAACATGGAAGTTACTTATTAAAAACACCATCAATAAGAAACCACTAAAAAGATCAATTTTTTAGGATATCTGTATCCAATTTAGGTGATTCTATGAAAATATCATAAACTTACACTTATGATAATATAATTATATTATAATATAATTATATTATGATAGAATCACCTAAATTGGATACTTACAAAAAAAAAAATTATAAATAAATAAATGAATAAATAATAAAAAGGCAAAAATCTAATTATATAACAGTTGAAATTTTTTACAGGAATTCAAAACTTAAAGAAAAAAATCAATAAAAAAAAGAAGGTAAAATGATAAAAGATTTATCATTTTACTTGTAGAGATGGTAAATGAATTAAGGTTTGCTTTTTTTTATAATCTTTCTTTCAAATGCTTCTTTCCAAATATATTATCTATTATTATTTTTTTTTTTGGCTTTTTAAAAAAATAAATAAATGGAGGTGAAAAAATGCAGTTTTGTGAAATTTTAAAAAATTTACGTTAAATTAAATAATTTACTTTCACAGCAATAATTTTAAATAATCTAAATTACAAACATTATTTTAATTTCAAACTAATTATAGCAAGATAAATAAATATTACAGTAACATTACGACTAATCAGGTCTTGTCTTACCTTACTACAGAAATTTGTTTTACAATGTTGATTTTTAAATATTTAATAAACAGAGTTAGGTTCTATAATGTTATGAATAATGAAAAACCTCGTAACTGTCAAAAGTTTATAAAAATGAGAAAATCGCAGAAGACATATCCACTATGGTAGCATATTTAAGTCACTCTGCAATGAATAATTTTTAATCAATTTAAAGTAATATATTTTCTAGGAGAAAAAATTATTCATGTTTTATCTCCCAAGGCAGGGGTCCGTCTAAGTTTTTCTGAGAGGTACCTATTTTGTGAAAATTTAGACATAATTTGTAACAAATTAAAAATCAACTCAAAAATATGGATTTATTGTTCCTTAAGAGATAAAAAATTAAATATTAAGAAAAAGTATATTGCGAAACTACAGTTTTTCCTATAACTGAATTTGTGAAACTACCGATTTTCCTAAAGTTGAATTTGTGAAGGCACCGCTAAACGGTAGTAAATTCGGCCTGGACAGACCACTGAGAAATTTTTAAAAATTAGTTACTGGTCCAAAAGCACAAGCGCCTAAAAAGTATACCATACTTATAATATACGTTGATTGCTGATTTTGGAGATCACCGATAATTTTAGAGTGAAATTTTAGTACAGTCCTGGACAACTGATAATTTCAAGCCCATTATGCTAGAAAACGATCAACACATCTTTCAGGAGTATTTGGTACAACAGGGTTAATTTTTGATCACTCTTAATATCTTAAGCATGAAAATTGTCAAAATCATCATTCAGTGAGTGATCAGTCACATGAATTAAATTACCTTCAAAAGCCAGTAAAATGGAACAAAATCCAAAATGATTTCAGAGAAGAACTCTAACAAGGAAAAGGCAGCAAAGGTAACCCAATAAGTCAACCATCGTGTGTCGTCTTCTTTGTTGCTGGATTCTATAGCGTGCATCCTGAAAATTATAAAAAACAGAGATATTATATATAATTTTAGATAGATTCAATATTAGATATAATTTTTTCCTGAACAATAAAAATGCAATACATTTAATTACAAAATCATCAATAAATTTATTAAAGTGCTTAAATAAAGTTGCTAAAGTAAAGTTTATTAAAGTGCTAAAATAATTTTTGTATCATTTTTAATAATTAAACAAATAATGTGCATAAAAAATAGAGTCTAACTAATTACAACCGAGTANACTTTTTACAGGAATTTAATACTGAGAAAAAAAAAAGGTAAAATGATAAAAGATTTATCGTTTTACTTGTAGAGATGGTAAATGAATTAAGGTTTGCTTTTTTTAGATATAATCTTTCTTTCAAATGCTTCTTTCCAAATTTTTCTTTTTAGCTTTTTAAGAAAATAAATAAATGGAGGTGAAAAAATGCAGTCTTGTGAAATTTAAAAAAAATTACATTAAATTAAATAATTTACTTTCATAGCAATAATTTTAAAGAATCTAAATTACAAACATTATTTTAATTTCAAACTAATTATAGCAAGATGAATAAATATTACAGTAACATTACGACTAATCAGGTCTTGTCTTTCCTTACTACAGAAATTTGTTTTACAATGTTGATTTTTAAATATTTAATAAACAGAGTTAGGTTTTATAATCTTATGAATAATGAATGGAATTATGGAATAATAAAAAACCTCGTAACAGTCAAAAGTTTATAAAAATGAGAAAATCGCATAAGACATATGCACTATGGTAGCATAGTTAAGTCACTCTGCACTGAATAATTTTTAATCAATTCAAAGTAATATATTTTCTAGGAGAAAAAATTATTCATGTTTTATCTCCCAAGGGTAATCAAATTTGCTAGCTACCAGCAATACTATTTCAAAATGAAATAGTGGAAGTTTTGATGGTACAGTATTTCACAAAAAATCTTTAATGACATAGTTTAATTCTAGATTGATAGTGCCTATAACATACTAATCTCAATCTTGTTTGTGTGATAAGAGAATAAGTTGATTAGGTACCATTACACTGGATAAAAGTTGTATGTGAAATTGTTTGGTGTAAAACAATACTATCAAATTTCCAAATTCCAAAAAAATCACATTTCCAAAAAAATGCTGCAATACAATAATTACAAAATAAGTAATAAAACATCTCCAAGAAAAATTACATAAAAGACTGCAAGATGCAAAGTTTACTTAAATATTATTAAAAGCAAAAATAGAATTATTAAGTTAATAATCTCTTTACTTTATAAACAATCGATTATTAAAGCAGATGCAAGAGAATTAATATTGCGTATTAGTTAGATAATATATAATCTGGAAGCAAATGTGATTACTGTTTTGTTGATTAAAACCTGTTATCAAAGGTATTTGTTGTAACGTTATAAGGAAATTTTTAATCCTGAAAACAAATATTTGATTATATTCTTGAGGTATAAAAATTCAGGATTTTATATTAGGCATAACATCTTATTTTTTAATACAATGCAAACTTTATATGAGCTGAAAATTGAGCGACTGTTCATATTAATTAACATTTTCAGTAAAATTGGAAAATACATTATTTTAAAATATTATTAAATCTGAGGCCTACCGTTCTTACTTGCTTTCTAAATACAAAACAAATAAAATTCCATATCTTTGATGCGAATAAAAGAAAAGCACGAATGCCCATTTGTAACTGTTTCAACATTTGTAAACAAATGTTAAAACAGACTAGATAAAAATCAATGATGACGGAGTCAATAGTTAAACAACATCAAATGTGATAAGAATTCCTGAAGATTACACTTGAAGCAGTTGTAGCTAGAACCGCCATGGAATATGGGATAATATTAGTTGAAGTTGAAGTAGTGGTAGCGCTTGTAATTGATCCTTTTAAGTATGTTTTGTACAAACATTACACGTAATCTTAACGAAATTTTAGATAAATGCAATGACTATTAAGGGTCTATTCTCACTGCATACAATTGCAGCCGAAAAAGATACACGCCTGTCTGAGCACATTAGCAAGCGTGTGTAAGGCTGTCGGAAGCGGTGAGAACAAATCATTCAGGCGGGTAAGACATCGCACGCGTATTAAACCTTGGTTGGTGAGTTTCTTGCGATCCACCTATCTGGTTCTCATGCACTGCTCTGCATGCTGCGCACTGCTCTGCATGCACACACGCGAGTGAGTGCTTAAAAACTATGTATCGCACCCCAGCAAGAAAAGTGACACAAGTCAAAGAACAAGTCAGAAAAGTGACACAAGTCAAAAACTTAAAGAATACTCTAAAAACTTATTCTGAAATAGCTTAATCTTGAGTACAATCTAGAAATGTGATATTTTTTGAGCTTGATGGGGCATTTCAGACATATTTTTTTGATATAACCTCAATATTGCTGTCATTTGACTTGTGTCACTTTTCTTGCCGGGTGCTGTATGATGAACAGCTCACTCATGCACGAATGCTTTGGATGTCTGATCGCATGTGCTCGTATACGGTGAGAATAGTCATCGCAAACGAGCTGTCGAAAGCGCACTGTTTGCGATTGACGCATCTCCTGTCGCCGTAGAGAGGAAATGGGAACCAGATACCAGAAATATATTTTCCTGTTAAAAATTCACTAATCAGGTTCTGTTTTTCTATAAACGGTAGTCAGAGGGATGTAACGATTCGTTCACACTGCATACAAATTATTTGTATATACGAATTTGGAAATGCGAAGGAGAACCTGCTCAGGTCACCATTCGAATGCTGTAATATGTTCACTTGGGAAAAATTCACCAATCAGGTTATGTTTTTTGCTCAATGGCAATTGGAAGTGCGTAAATTTACGATTGAAAAGGGCGTGTATGATCGAATGCAGGTGGATTATAGCAGAACTCTCTACCCATGGCAACACTTCGCATGCTTTCCCCATTAGCGTGTGGAGAGTCATAGAGGAAGGAAGTACGTTAGTTTCTCTCTTGATTTTCACATATATTAAAATATTTTAAGTTGGAAAACTATATGGAACTGAAAACTACATTAAACATAGTTCTAAAGAAAAGCTTCACGGGAATTTTAAAAAATATTTTTATTAAATAAAAAGGAAAAATATTAAGAAAAGGGAAAATATCGTAGTACATGCCTGCATAACTGAAAAGAGGAGGAGAGGGAATGGAGAAGGGCCAAAGGCATGAAACCGGTCTCTCACCAGACGGCGTATTCGAGCCTTGCGATCGCCAACAGTAACCTCATCTTTTAGGAAAAGGTCCTACAAGGCTTGTGGAGAATTCTCACAGTATGCGATTTTCGCATGCAGTCGTACATCAAAGTGATTCGCGTAAGAACAAACAGTTCTTGTTAATTTTTGCTTTTAAAGCAACTTTGATCAGCATGCGTAGGGACCGAGGGTGTGCTTAATCGGTCTTAGTTAAACTGTTCTACCATAAAGTGCTCAATTTAACTCTCTACCAAAACACGGGAACCATTTCCTCTGCAGAGGATCAAAATTGCGATGGCAAGTCTTCGGATCATCCTTAAGGATGTTTCCCAGACCGTCACCAATTGCCCATTCTGCAGCTCTAGTATGACGTAAGCAAAGCACGTACGTACGTAGTTTCTGAACCTGCGTGCCTAGGGCAGTGAGAATACTTTTTTACTTTATCCTGAATCACAAAGTATGAAACACAACATATATTGTTTACCATGATGGGGTCTTATCGTTGTTTCGGTCCAAAAATTCTGAAAATTATTTTAGATATTTTTCGTCAAAAATTTTCCAACAAAATATTTTAAATATGTGACACGACAACAACGAGAATCCTTTATTTTGGTCGTTTTCACTTAAAATGAGCCAACTGTTTGTTCGATCGTCACGAGATTGATTTCATTAAATTCATAGAAGAAACAAACAAACATTGGAAACGAGGTTTCATTTAACTGTTTAGAGGAAATCAATTTCTCTCCAGCTAATCATTCTTATCTCCCTCAGAAAAGGTGGTATAGTACATAGGAGAGTAGGGGAGTCGACAGGTATAATTTATAATAATAAAGCTTTGTTTTTTCAAAAAATACTCCGATATTAATTTTCCTGACGAAGCACCTTTTTTCTGTTATAATTACTGAACTATTCTGAATATTAAGTCAAGTTCTGTCTATTTTTGTCTATCAGCGACTTCTGTGGTGATTCTGAAAACAGCGTATGACATCAGTATGAATGAAAGCCACCATTTTACGAAAATAATAAACGTTTGGTATCTAATTTTTTAATTATCAAAAAATTATTACAGTATTAGAGATATTTGTATAAATTTGTTTATAAAAAGTGGAAATTAATAATTGATTATGAGTGAAATTTAAGTGAAAAAATCCTACCAGAACTTCGATTTTTAAGTTGTTGTTGTAGTTCATTTACGTCGCACTAGAGCTGCAAAATGGGCTATTGGCGACGGTCTGGGAAACATCCCCGAGGATGATCCGAAGACATGCCATCACAATTTTGATCCTCTGCAGAGGGGATGGCACCCTCGCTTCGGTAGCCCAGCGACCTGCTCGTGAAGTCGAGCACTTTACGGTAGCATAGTTTAACGAGGACCAATACCGCACACCCTCGGTCCCTACGCAGACTGATCCAAGTGGGTCACCCATCCGCACACTGACCGCAGCCAATGATGCTTGACTTCGGTGATCTGCTGGGAACCGTGTCTTAACGATCAGTCCACTGCGGGACTCGATTTTAAAGTATTACAACTTATAAAATATTGAAGTTATCGGGTTCTAGGCCGGGATAGCCAGGTCGAAAGGGCACTGGGCCCATGTCCGAGAGTTCGTGGGTTCGAGCCCCGCCGGTCGAAGACTCCCCGTGTAGTAAAGTGACTGAGTCGCAAAAGTCCTCCATGTTCCCATAACAAGTCAATACCTCTGGGGATATTGGATTGGAGATCGATCGGTCTATGATTCAGGTCAAAATTACGATCTGTGGATGAATCAATAGATCCGCCCTATAAACGGGTGTGAAGTATGGTGTGGCGGAAGTCGAATTCTTGGCCATAGATGGCGCCACTGGAAAACAAGAACAATCACACCTCCTCTGCCTAAAACAGGCATATGTCTAGAACATGACTAGATAATTCTTTACTGTAAAATTGCATATATAGTTCAAAATTATAGCTTTGCCTCAAGAGTAGCATTTTAACTGTGACTTTTTTAAAACTTCTTTTAGGGAAAATGTTGTGAAAAACACAGGATTAATTTTACGACTTTTAAAAAATGCTTTTCCTCTTGGCTAAATAGCTTCTTTACATTGACATTTGGCATCATTTTTATAATTAATTTGGAGAATGCTGGTCAAAAGTGGGAAAAAATTTACCGAATACTGATAAATATTCGTTACAAAGTAAACTAAAAATAGCATATCATTCTCTAAAAAGTCTTATATAAAGTGAAGCTAAAAATTCGAAGAGCAGCTTTACAAGCTCGTACAGATAAAATAACGTAGAAAGTTATACACATGGCAAATTATCTTTCTCAAGCATACCCAGAAAGCACTTACGGCACTTGCGAACTTACGGCAACCTTGTATCAGAACTTTCCTTTTATTGTCCCGAAAAAGTTTGTACTAAAAACCTTTTTTAAATGAAGCCAAAATATTGCAGTTTCAAACCTTTCATCGTAAAAGGATTAAAAATTAATTTTTAAAGCTTTTTTAAAAAGTATTGCCACTTAGGTAAAATGGTCATTTAGATCCATTATGATGTTATAGCTGACGTCACACTAGCGATAGGATCAAATTGCATTGTCCATTAAAATATCATGACAAGGTGGATTTTTAGCTCAGCATACAAGACTTTGCAAAAAGAAACCTTATAATGACCTAGATTTAAGATTATTTTCACCTTGAGACTAGCTTCATTCAAGGATTTTTTCACGCTTGAAAGCACTAAGTCAACCTCGATTTAAGGTTTTTATATGGAAGGTTGTTTTCCAAGGTTTTGGATCAGGGTAATGTGTGTAGAATAGAGCAGATAGTCGAAGATCTCGTTTTAAGGTTAGAAGGTTTACATGTAAACCGCATTACAAACCTTTTTAGGTTTACATTAAAAGATTTTTGCTGAGTGAAAATAAACCTTATTTTGCTATCTGGGTAAATAATTTAAAGTTTAGAAAAAACAGAGTTCAGGTAAACCTAGTGTAAACCCTGAAGTTTCAAATGCTGAAGGAATGTTTCCCAAAATGCAAACAAATTATTGCACAATTACTCCTTACTGTGTAATGCTAAGTTAGACTGTCATAATTTGTTTAATTTCTGTCGCAGAAGTTTCTAAGAGACGATTCTAATAGATGTTTAATTTCTGTCTTCATTTCGTAGACACTAAGCAAAATGTGGTAATTCTTATTTACAATTAATCAGGAATTATAATCAACATTTTCAAAATTAAAAATAGATGCCATGATTGTTAAGAATTAGTGGTATTCACTGATGGTTCACCGATAAAATAACATGTAAATGAAGTGTTTTTATTACTGATATTTTATCTTTTCTGCAAATTACAATAGCATTCTTGGTGCATAACTCAGCTTAGATATAAATGAAGCATTTGCATAACAAAATAAATCCCCCACAAGTTCAATAGAATATATTTATTTTATTTTCATTGCTTCTTTAGACACAGAGAGGTTTAAAAATGTACTTTACACATAAAATATATTTGTTTTCAAAACATATTGTTTGCATTCAAAGTCATCAAAATAATTTTGGTGCTATAATTTAGTCCCCTGTCATCATTTCCATGAATTCTGAAACAGAAAATAACAATAAAATGATATTATGCTGCGTAAAAGGTTAATTGTACTGTACAGAATAATCGCAAGAACCGATTATATGTATGGACCATCAAGTATTTTGTATCATATAAAATTTCATTTTCAAAAATATTACTCTGGTTAAGAAATTAAGAAAACCTAAAACTAATAGATAAACAGACCAGAGACTAGGCCCGTACACATCTTCACTAACTCGTTTCTGTGTTTTTATTAGACAATTTTATTATTTTTCATTTTAGTTTTTATTAGATTATTTTTAAAATAAAATAATTTTTAAAAAATGCACGAAACTAAAAATCAAAAATCCAACTATCCTTATACAATGATTTCAGTCTTGTGCATCACTATACTAATGGTCAGACATTTACGGTGGTGGTCTGAGTCAAATTTCAGAAATCGAGGAGCAACGGACCACCGTTAACTACGAGACCTGATTTAATTATGCAAAATTCAAGTTATTTTCATCAATAATATTTAAAATTATGTTTAAATGATTGGAAATAGAATTACAGAGTTTGTCTATTTAGTACACACATCTTAACCTGCATATTTAATGTAAATGGATGTAATGGATCGTTAAGTTTATACAATAAGGATATAAATTTTTTTAAAAATTTTTAAATTTCCTCAGGGATCTTTCAGATATTGCGGAAGTACACAAGGGGAAAGGTGTTGCGAATTGTGTATTTTTGCTGACAAAGAAGAAGCAACGTGAGAAAGACACTGCAACTTCTGTAGTTTTAATTTTATGATAAAAAAGAAACAAATGCAATAAAAAATGTTTAAAAAAATATACTCGGAATTTAAGTTTAAAGTAAAATTTGACTTTGGAGAAAGAAAGAGGTAAGAAATTTTTTTTAAGGAGTTTCAGAAGTTACTAGTTTTGACCCCAAAAGTAGAAAACCAAATTTTTAGAAAAATTTGAATATTTTTCAAAAAAAAAAGAAGAAAAAAAGGAAATAGAACGTGAAATAGGAAGGTTTGGTATCTATCGATTAGATGTATAGGTATTAAATTTAAATTACTTCATATTTAAATTGTTAAATGTGTGCAAAATCGAAAAAAAATTTTTTTGACTCTAAATTTTAAAAAATTAATTGAAACATAAATTTTGTTCAGTGCAAAATTACAAATTCTGATTGAATTTTATCGCAAAGTTAAATTGCTAGAGTAAAAGACAAAGTTAAATACATGGGATTAATTATTATTTTTTTTTTTGCATATGCACGGAAAGAAGTTTTATGATTTTCTTATTTTTTTTCTGACAAGGGAAGGGAATCCAAAATTACCGAAACATGTTCATGTAATATTTGAGCTGTCCCCTACATACCTACATATTTCTGTACTTTTTACATTATTACAGAGCAGCTATTTATGGTATAAGATCTATTCCAGACATTCATTACTGTTCCCTTCTTTTTCCTCAGCTCTACAGCCTGGTACAGTCAAATCCGTGGTACAGCCTCTGTAGTCAAGGCTGGCTCAATCAGTTTTTTTATTGAGATCTCTCAGACGCAATGATTCTTAAGCATGTAACTCCAATGTCAACAGTGACATTAACATTTCAAAACACAATACAAATAAAGTATCTAATAAAATGTCAGTCGCTTAGAATGACATTACTGTTATAAGATATAAAAATCTATTACAAATGAAATGTTTAATAAAATGTACTTTTATGTCAGCAATGTCGCTTTAAATGACATTAGTATTAGACATGAAAATATATTAGAAATAAAATATTTAATAAAATTTACTCCGATGTCGCTTTGTTGCTTTAAATTATGCACTAAATGCAAATTGAATATTAAAATGATAAATGCACGCTTTAAATGACATTACTATTTAAAGACATAAAAACCAATTGCAAATGAAATATTTAATAAAATGTACTTCAATGTCAGCAATGTTACTTTAAATGACATTAGTATTTTAAGACACAAAAACATATTGCAAATAAAATATTTAATAAAATTTGCACCGAAGTTAGTCGTCTACGACATAGCTATTTTAAGACATAACCTATTGCAAATTATCTATTTAATAAAATGTATTTCGATACCAGCTGTGTTGTTTTAAATGACATTACTATTTTAACGCATAAAAATATATTACAAATAAAATATTTAATAAAATTTACTTCGATGTCACTTTGTTGCTTTAAATTATGCTCTCAATGAAAATAAAATATTAAAAGGATAAATGTACGCTTTAAATGACATTACTATTTTAAGACATAAAAACCTATTACAAATTAAATATTTAATAAAATGTACTTCAATGTCAGCAATGTTGCTTTAAATGACATTAGTATTTTAAGACGCAAAAACATATTACAAATAAAATATTTAATTACATTTGCACCGATGTTAGTCGTTTATGTCATAGCTATTTTAAGACATAACCTATTGCAAATTATCTATTTAATGTACTTCGATATCAGCTATGTTGTTTTAAATGACATGATTATTTTAACACATAAAAAGATATTACAAATAAAATATTTAATAAAACTTGACTTTCAAGAAAGATAAATTTACTTTTTAGAGTTTTTAAACAAATTTAACTCTTACAGGAGTGGTGAGATAAAAACTGTCGTTCTTGTTTTTGACTACAATATAAACCACTAAAATTGTAATTGTTTTCTAGCTCTTACACAATGTAATTTTTAATTAACCATTTTTAATTTTAAAAAATGAGAATATAAAGCGAATCGCTTCCTTGCATAGGACGATTACAATTCTCTTGGCTGAAGGGATAGAACGATCGCCTCCCGGGTTCGAATCCCAGCGAGGACTGATCGATACAAATCCTCAGGTAATCATAAAAACATCCTCAGTGGTAGACGGATCATGGGTAACATTCCCCTTGCCGTCAGGCTAACTGTGGGAGATTTTCGCGGTTTTCCCTCACCATATAACGCAAATGCGGGTTAATTCCATTAAAAAGTCCTCCAATACTTAATCCATAAGCTCAAAATGACAAGGCTACGGAGTTGAACATTGGTAGTCGTAAACTAAAAATTGAGTCGGCTGTTCAACGACGGTTTTAAAATAAAATTCTCTTGTCATTTTGTGACTAAATTTCTTAAGGAAAAGTTTTTTGACCCGCAAAGAGTTAAACTTTGACATTTAGTTTACAATGGAAAATTCAATCTATGCAGAATTTTTAGTCGAATATCATTTTGTGAAAATGCGTATTTTCTCTTGGTTACCAATTAATAGTCATGCATTGCAATTTTAACGATGACACTGAAATTATAATTGCCAATTTGACAACTCTCTTTTTCTGTTCATGCGTAGTTTATGTGAATATATTTAAGAGAGAAGTTTCAGGGCGACGTTTAAGTGAAATAGGAACAATAGTTTTAAAAAAAATATATCTGTAGTAGGAGGTTGTCTACAAAATACATTTTCTCATTGAATACCGTTGTATTTATTGATATGGCAGAAAAAAAATTTAAAAACCTTTTTATTTATTCACCTGGCAAAAAAAGAAATTAAAAATCTTCTTATTTATTGACCTGGCAGCGAAAAAAAAGAGTCTTATTTGCTGAATTAGGAATAATAAATAAATAAATAAAATAAAAAATAAATGAAATAAAAAATAAATAAAATAAAAAATAAATAAAATAAAAAATAAATAAAATAAAAAAATAAATAAAGTAAAAATAAATAAAATGAAAAATAAATAAAATAAAAAATATATAAAATAAAATATGAATAAAACATAAATAATTAAAAAATAAAATAAAGAAAGAAAATGAAAATAAAAATTATTGACCTAGCAGAAAAAAAATTATGTTTTAAATCTAAATTTGATCACAATTTGTTTTTCAACCCATTATTGCTCCTCAAGTGATAGATTTGTGAATAAAATATTTATGAAAAAAAAATAGGTAGTCCTTATTTGTTCATATCAACTAGATATATTTCTATCTGTTACCCACCACATTTTCCTTAAAAAAGCTATGTTTTTTTTCTAAAAAAACTTCAGATTTAAAGATAGAAAGATTTGATTTTTAAATTATTAATATAATAAGGTTTGCAGATCTACCTTGTTTTCTACAAAATAAATCCTAATAACGATTTCTTTTTTTTCTTCATTTTTCTTTCAAAAACAGATGCCCGTTCTTTTTAAATGACACCAGGCACAAATGAGTTAAAAAACAAAAATTCATGCTCCTTCTGAGTGCCACTTAGTACCTTCTTCTACCAAAATCTTAAGCTATGCTTTAAAAATTACTTCCAAATAAGATCTTAAGCTATGCTTTAAAAATTACTTACAAATTGTTTATTATTATTGAAAACAAAAAAATTGAAAAATACGAGGAAGAAAGAAAACTTCAACATAATCAATAAAATAAAGAAATAATTTAATAAATTGTCAAAGGGAAAAAACTTCGCAATAGAAGCACTCAGAATTGAATTTACTTTAAAAAAAAATGGAATAAAAAAAAAAATGTTGCATTCTGAGAGAAAAAATATTAACTTGAAAACTCCGCAAGCATTTCACTACTTTAGAGAGTCTAAAATGTAAGCAAATTTCAAGTTCTATTTATTTATTTACTTTTTAAAAACTTTTATCTAAAATTTGTAAACATGAAATTATTATTTTTTAAAATCGGAAATGGCTAAAATATGGATTGGCAGATTTAATTTTTTTTAATATCACATCTTCGAACAAAATAACAGTGCAACAAACAATTATACCAATTATAAAATATCATAAAAAATACATGGTTGCTTTTCTTCTTTAATTGATGGCCTAAATTGAATAGTGGTTCTTGTCTATAGGTTTTAGCTGCCTTGAGCGAACGAAAATCTATTTATTACATTTTCAAATGCTTTGTTACGAAGCAGAATTAAATTTTGAAAAAGTGATATAATTTATTATTAAAAATGTTATCACAAATGTTATCAGCTTCCAGTGAGGTGAACCGAGTTCGAATCCTAGCGATGGCTGGTGGATACGAAATCCGCACTCGGCTCGCACCGATCACAGTGCTGACGTAAAAATAATGATAGACGGATTATAGTTTAGAGTCCCCTTGCCGTCAGGCTAACCAAGGGAGGTTTTTGTAGTTTTCCTCTTCATGTAACACAAATGCGGGTTAGTTCAACCAAAAAGTCCTCCACGAAAAGTTTACCGAAAAGTCCCCCATTACCTAATACAGGAGTTTCCTTGTCTTCTGGATTGGGTTCAAAATTACAAGACTACGGAGCTTAACATTGGTAGTCGTAAACCCCCCAAAAAATGGTTCGTTTACTGAACGACGCTTATAAAATTAAATAAAATGCTAATTATTGGGCCAGAATAGCTAGGTTGGTACGGCGTTGGACTAGTGTTCGTTAGAACGGGAGTTCGAATCCAGATGGTCGAAGAATCCTCGTGTATTCATTAGTGACTGTTGCACGTGAAATCTGTTTGGGTCACAAAGTCCTCCTAGTTTCCATAACAAATCAATACCTCTGGTAGTACTCCAGGAGTTCCCCTGTGTTCTGGATTGGATTCAAAATTACAATGCTAAGGATTTGTACATTGGTAGTCGTAAACTCAAATTTTGGTCAGCTGTTTAACGATGGTTATAAAATAAAATAAAATATTAATTATTACAATACAAATATGCAACATTGAAAGACATAATTACAACCATAATTAAATGACGAAATTATTTAATTATAACTTTAATTATTAAATAATTTAATAACAACTATAATTATTGAATACATAAAATTAAAGAACTTTTAAAAATTTCTCCAAATTTAAAATTTATTCAACTTGAACGGTCTAACCGAAACTGATTTCTGATGGGCTCGGGTGATTGCTCAGTTCGTACTCACTAAAGCATGGTACAACGTGGTACATCGTTGTTTATTTTAAGATACAGAGCCTTAAATTCTAATGAGTGCCTTGCCTTTCCTCTCTGGTCTGATTTGTGGTGCCTTCTGTTTGGCAGCTGAATGTGTATTAGTTTTAAAGAAGGAAGAAATGACACGTATTAACATGGAAATAAGGAAAAAATTAAAATAAGCCCTTCAATTGCAAGTAAATGCTCGTGTATATTTGTAGGCTAATTGGAGAATTCTGAGCTTTGTAAATTTCCAATGTGATAGGCTTATTAGAATAGTTTCCAATATTTTATAATCGGTCTGAAAGTTACTAAACCGACAGTGGCCAGACCACCTATCTTTAGGCTAACTGTAGAATGTCATGGTACAAATAGCGTGATTCATTTTAAACAGTGCATGCAGTAGTGAAGGCTTATTGTAATAAATGGAGTGAAGTAAAGGCTTATTGAGAAAAATTCAAACGTAAGGGATACATTGAAAAACTAATAGCAACTCATTGCAATAAACCTAATAGAATTCAGGCTGATTGCATTATACTTCGCACATTTGCTAATAAGACCTAAAGGCATATGGGTTGAGCAGAATAAGTAAATTCAGGCTGATTGAGTAATTCTTTAAACATTAGACCTTAGACATATAAACAATTAGACATATAAAGGCATGATAGAAGAGGCCTAAAAGTACCAAGGTGAATAGAATATAAGACAAAAGTTTACAATTAGCCTTATTCAAAATGGCAGCGGCATTTCTAAACAACTGGATTTTCTAATTTGCTTACGTCATATATTGCTGTGAAAGACCGAAGTTAGTGAATTTCGACTTTCATGAAATTGCTGGCTTTAACTATAACATGCATGGGTATAAATAGTATGGATGGAAAAGGATTATGACTGACCGTCAAAGTCAACAGTACCACTGCCGTCTGTATCAATTTCTTGTATCATTTCATCCAGTTCATCCTCAGTTAGGTTATCATCCAGAGCTCGAAGAATTTCTCTCAAATCCGAGACATTGATGTATCCGTTTCCATCTTTGTCGTACATCCGAAACGCTTCTCGCAACTCTTGTTGTATAGCTTCCGAATCTTCGTCGACAAGATAGCGGGCTGTTAACGTGAGAAACTCATCAAATTCCAGCTCTCCGCTTCCTAAGAGAGGGTAAAAACTTATAAACAGAGTGATTACAAAATATGCCAACAGATAACCCACTGTGTAGCTTATCGTTCGAAAGAATAGAATAAAATGTTGCATTATTTTTAATACAATATTTATTTTTTGCTCATGAATAGTGCTAAAATGGTAACTCAACTATCTTAACCAAAATGTCAGAATTTTGAAATTTTTAAATAGCAACATCTACATTTTTCATCGATACCTACTGATAAAGAATTGCGTATTTTATGAATTTTCTGCGCAGCAGTAATTCAGCCCTATTGAATGCAAAAGATCAATGGTTTGTGCGATGCATCTTGCACTCTTGTCTAGCATCGCCCTATTAGCACAAAACTTAAAATACAATTCTATTCTATTCTATTTATATTATAATCTTTTTTATATCAAGTGCTGTTTATATCATATTCTATTCTATTCCATTCCATTTAGCTCATAATCTTTTTTATATCAAGTGCTATTTATATTCTATTCTATTCTATTCTATCATATGGTGAGCATAACCATGTTCAACAATAGGATTGACAGGGGTCATATATTGTCAAACTTATAATCACCCTCTGAATTATAATTTGGTTTGGTTGTTAACGTCAAACTAGAGCTACACTAATGCATTACAAGCAGTGCTGCGGGAAATTTATTCCTAGTGATGATCTGAAGGTAATATTGGTGCTGCACTTAGAACACGGAGCAATGCTTTGCAGGCCGTATTCATAATGAACACATAAGCCTACACATGAGCAGCAATAAATAAATAAATATGCGAATGATTTTAGTAATCACCAGCGACCTCCGCCCCATGCTCCCCAACCGGCCTACCATGTTTGGACTTCTCCAGCTCCTGGCTCTGAAATCGTCTTAGATATTACACTAAATTGAGCTCTGAGACCCGAACGAAGAAAGTTAAAAGCCTGATCTATAAGAGTATAAATAGTAGTAATATTCAGGGGCAAAAAATTTAAACTTATTCAGATTATTTGAAGAAAAAAAAATGCAATGAATAACGAATTCAAGCTTACCATCAGAATCTATCTCTTCTATTAAATCCTTCAACTCTTTTTCTTCAAATGTTTGGCCCAATGTCCTTAAAATTGTGGCAACCATGTTAGTATGAATGCAGCCTTTCTTGTCTCGATCAAACATGTCGAATGCTTTTCTAAGCACTATTTTGGAATAAAAAAATAGATAAAATAATAATAAATTGATAAATAAATGAAATAAATGAAATAAATTGATAAATAAATGAAATAAATTGATAAATAAATGAAATAAATTGATAAATAAATGAAAAACACTAAATATAATAAATAAATAAATGAAATAAATTGATAAATAAATGAAATGGCTGCAATAAGGAAAATTTCTTATACTGCGAATGCATATAAGACATACGAATTCTTTTAAGCATCTGGTGATTAATCTGGTACTAATATTTGGTGATTAGAGATGGATAATGTATAGTGAAACATCGATGTAGCTTAGCATCGCTGTAAGGACGTTTTAAAATGCATTTTTACGATATATTGTGAAAACCCTGTGAATGTTTAATAACCGAAGAGCTTCTCAGTGGCATTTTAGTGAGTAGAGATATACGTTGACAGTAGTAAATAATGAATATGCCTTGTCTTTATTTCTTAACAGCTCATCATAAGAAACAAATAAGATCCTCCACCCGAGAAATCTCAAAAATATCACTTCGAACCTTTTTTGGCTATCTTTTTATGAGTTTTTCGATTACCGACAAAGATAAATGATGAATATTATTTTTAATAATAATTATAAAACAATAAATTATGATAAATTTCGTTTCGATGACAAAAATATTGACCGATGTAAAAATAATGAAAATTGGTGGAAAAAAAATTAAAAATATTTTTAGTCATGAAATATCGATATTTATGAGACGATATTAAAATTCCGATATATCTATCTATCTATCTATATATCTATNATATATATATATATATTTGCTGATGTCCTGCTTTTGCCGCTTGAGGATGTCCCATTTCAAAAAAAGATAAAAACGGTAGAGCAATTAATTTATTATTACTATTAGTAGTTTTTGTCTTACAGAACAAAAAAAGATACCTGTTTACCTACATAAATTAATAATACAAGGCTTCAAACTTAAATCTAAAATCATTATACTGAGATTTCTGTATGACGTAAGAAATAGATGAAATAAGGAAATACCTTTTTGATTAAAACACAAACGTACTTATCACTGTTTTAATAAAAGCATTTAAAACAGCACGAAAATTTGAATGTTAAGAGTTAAATTTAACAAAATTTTAAACATTTCTTTCATGAAATACAGAAAGTTTAAAGGAGCTAACACTTTGGGCAGAAGGAAAAATCAATTACAGTAAGTTCCTACAGGAGATAAGGTAACAATATTCAAATATAGGCCATTGTTGAATGAGAAAAACTATTAAAAGTGCGATCAATTGTTAATAATTATATCATATATTTATTGTGCGAAAAAAATCCAGAAAAATGACATTTGATGATGAGAAACCTCATAGGTTGACCATTTTAGATCACCTATTTGAGTTGATCTGAATGATCCAGTACTAAACTGGCAAAAAATTAAATTCCTCTTTTATAAATAGACCATTAAAGTGTTGATTCAAAAATGATCAACATACGCAGGTTCCAATGTAACTAAAAAAGTATGGAATTGTAACTTATAAATTGACTTACTTTCAGTTTGTTCACTTGTAAGTTCTTCTACCTGAAAATGATAAAGAGCAAAATAAGTATATGATAAACAGATTAGGGTATTTTTGCTTTAGAGCGTAGGTGGGTAAAAGTAGTGTGACTGAAATGAGTGATTGTCAACCTTTGCCAGATAAAGTCGACAATCAAATAGTACCTTTAGTGAATATCCGAAATATTTGTTAAATGTCATGATTTCTCATTTGCACCAGCAATTTGACTATTACTGATGGACTTGAGCCTGGTTCCTGTTCCAAGCGACGTTTCAAGAAAATGTGCGCACGCGTGAGTATTCTTCTATCTTAAACAGTGTAAGGAATAATTGGTCCTTAACATAAAAAAAAAATCACGTTTGAGAACTTTTTATTCTGGACACAGCTTAAAATGCGTATTTACAAAAATGGACAAAGCTCGAAATGAGTATTTAAGAAAATTGCCAAAGTTCGAAATCCTTGTTTACGAAAATGAACACAACTGAAAATACTCGTGTATGAAAATGAACCCAGCTCAAAATGCCTGTTTAGGAAAAAGGACACAACTGAAAATGCGTATCTAAAGAAAATGGACATAGCATTTGATTCTGTTTTTCAAATTTTCTTATGAGTGCTTTTTTTTAAGAATAAACTAAATAAAACCAAATAAATTTTGAATATGGCATAGCATCGTTCATTTTTACAAATCACTTAACACATTTGATTAAATTAATCTTTTTTTTAAAGACTTTAAAAGTCAACAGTTTTTTTAAACAAGGTTGTTATGGGTCCGATAAATTTCTTATACAGTTACGTTACTCACTTGTTACGGTAGTCAACTCACCTTATAGTTCAGAGTTCTAAATTATCTGAGTTCTGATTTTGTTCTTGAAAAGTTACTAATGTTGGTTGGTTCTAATGTCACTTGCAACACGGGAAAGCCTGGTTGGTGAAACCGAGCAGATTTAAAGCAGAGAGAGCGTTTCTTGTTTTTCAGTGGCGCTATCTACGGCCAAGAATACGACTTCTGCCACATCTTACGTCACACCCGTTCATAAGGCGGACCCATTCATACATCCATCCACAGATCGTAATTTTGACCTGAAACGGAGAACGATCGATCTCCAATCCAGTACCCCCAGAGGTATTGATTTGCTATGGGAACATGGAGGACTTTGCGACTCGACAGATTTGACGTGCATCAGTCACTTTATTACACGGGAGTCTTCGGCCGACGGGGTTCGAACACACGAACTCTTGGACATGGGCCCAGCGCCCTACCAACCAGGCTATCCCGGCCTAACGAATGTAATATACCTAACCATCTTGATCCCGATGTCTGGGGCTTTCCCCCGTTATGATTATGCTGGTGTTTAAATAAGTAAGGAAAATTAAACACGAAATTTTTTATTTTGTTATTAAGGTTGAAATTGAACGTTAAAAAGAGTTTTTATTTTTATTTTGCTATGTTTATTTTCTTAAACATGCGTTTCGAGCTGTGACCATTTTCTTAAACACAAATTCTGAGCTGTGTGAGTATTCTATTATACCATTTTTCACATGTTCTGACTAGATATTTAAAAATATAAGAATAAATAGTAGTTTTAAAGCTACTCTGTTTCAAATATAGATTTTAAGGAACATTATGTTTCTTTTAATTGTGTGAGAAATATTAATAATTAATTAAAGCAGTTAGATTCTCATAGTATTAACCATATTAAAAATCACAACATAGAACTACATAACTATGATTTTTTACTTATTACTTATAAAGAGTAGACATTAAATGAGTGTTCTGAATAGGATCAAATTTATTTATTCAGTGTTTAATATTAACTTTAATACAAAGAATTAGAATTTTACAAAGAATTAGAAGTGATCATGGTGAAATTGAATTATTAATCGCCCAATTTTTGTAACTGTAGACATTCTTAATAAGATAAATATGTACTGTCACATAAATCATATATTTTTGCTTTTCACAAATTTATTTAGGGTGATAGCTTCATTTTGCACATTGCACTACCTCTTTTTTTTAAACATAGATGTTTTCACATTCAATCCATTTTTTGTGGTCAGGCATTATTGGGTTAAAAATACATATAAATTTCCAAATTAGACGGTAGAAATATTCTAATAGCACTTAAAATTAGTGCAGATGACATTTTAAGTCACGAAAGCAAACACAAGAAAGTATTTTCCTCTGAATCAACATTACTTTTTTTGACGTGTTCGCTTATTTTACCCTCAAAATATTAGGCGCAATCTGGAAAATAAGGTCCTATAATAGTTTATTCAGGAAGGTAGCCAAAAGTGTGAGTTTTATGATGTTGAGTTAAGGTTTTGCGTACCTCGCAGTAGAACTATTTAAGTGAAAAGTGTTTTTGCACACAAATATAAAAGTCGATTATATAAAGATAAATTCAAACAAAAATATTTTTTAAAATTGTTCATTATTTTATATTACTTATTTTAAAAAAGATCGAAAAAAAATTGAATTGTAAGGTTTATTTAACAGTATCTTAAACAGTGCCGTTTTAAATTACAAATCCGAAGTCTTTCACTATCGATCAAATAATTCCAGGAAAATGAAATACGATTTTTTGTGTGGAAATTTCATAGTTCATAAGACCGATTTCAACCAAATTTTAGACTTTAAAGACTTTATTTTCTGTCTTATTTTAGACTTTATTTTCTGTCTTTAAAGAAGGTTTTAATTTTAAACATATTTTTATCGTGGATTTTGATTTTCATATTTTTTCTAGAATCGTGAATTATTTTCAACAAAAAATTATACCTGAAAGCTAAGCTTAAAAATTATAATTTTTGTGATTATCAATCTGTTTTTAAATGTAGGGATGGCAGCAGGGTTTGTTGATTTAAATCAGCTTGATTTAAATCAAGATTTAAATTATGATTTAAATCGAATGATTTTAAAAAAATCACTGATTTAAATCAATTGATTTTTTTAATATATATATTGATTTAAGAAGTTAAAAAACAGTGTTTTAAATTATTAATACTTTTATTATTTTCTTTTCTTAGTTTTAAAATTTATTTTAAACAAATTGTTACATTAATTAATTTTGATTAACAAAATTATTTCTTTCTTGGTGTGTGTTAAATTCCAACACATTTGAAATTGCATTTTTAAATCTTTTGATTGTTGAGATTGAAAGTACAGATTAAGGTAAACATGTAATGCTGTCTTAATATTGACTTGCATAGCTGTAGAAAGTAATTAATAAACATGAATTTTCTTTCACAATAAATACAAATAATGCTAATTAAAATTCTACCTTTTAATTAAAAAAACATGGAATTAAAATCTACATTATATTTTATTGGTGGAAAATGCATATTTCTAAAGCTTGAGGTTATATTAATAGAAATTGCCCTAATACGCCAAAAATAGAAGGAAAAAAATGCTGATGAATTCAGATATTTTTTTTCCTGATATAGTGTCATTTTATTAAATTAAATAACCTAGAATTAGAATTGTACTGTTTCTTTTATCAATAAGTAATTTTTTCTTATAATATGTTTACAGTATGTTTGATATTATCATATTTTCTATAAAGAAATTTTGTAAAAAAAATTCCAATGAGTACATAGATTTTTTTAAATTTTTTTTTAGCTTAATTTATCTATTTTGATATAGAATTAAAAATGAATATTTCAATATTATAATATATAGATTAAATATTTATTTATTTTTTGAGGAATGATTAAACAAAATCTGTTACATTTATTTTGTCATTTTAAAAATCAAGAGAAAAAAAAGAAATCACAATTTTAAATTAAAATTATGGTTTGCTAATTGAAACTTCGTTTTAATAGTTAAAGTATTCTTCTATTCATCTATTCTTCTATTTCATCTAGTCTTTAAATTTCAATCATGCATTTGTTTCAAAATGGTTGCAATGCATTCAAAGCTATGTATTATAATAAAAACTTGTTTTAGGTAGTTACAGCTTCTGAAATATTGTCATAATATAGTTTTAATATTAATTTAATTTTGATTAAACATTTATAAAGTTTTTTTAATCACAAATTAAGTTCCTATAGTGTATTTGAATAAAAAAAAATCTGATTCAAATGAAAAAAAATCAGATTTAAATCAAAAAAATCTGATTTTTTTGGTTTTTTATAAAGAAATCAAAAAATCACGAACCCTGGATGGCGAATTGAAGATGTTATGGTTTAACACAGCTTTCAAACTGAATTTCAAAACTAAACCAAACTAAAACTTTTTTAACACTTTGAATACATTAAAATAATGTTTAAACTAAGGAGAGCATTACATAATTTAATGTTCCTAATGCAATATATTAATATTATCATCTAACAATCATAAAATAATATATTTTTTAAATACTTAGATTGTAAAAATTTTAAAGTTTAGAGTAGTGATTGTTGATGTTTTAAATCTATAATAATTGAAATCTAAAATAATTGAAATTATAATAATTGAAATCCATAATAATTGAAATCTATAATAATTGAAGGAAAAGTTTGAGTCTCATTTATAATTCCAGAACTTTTTGAGCTAGGGTCCTGAAATTTAGACAATGGCTGTAAAGCGAAAAGTAGAAAATTCAAATAAAATTTATAAAAAATCATCCAAAAATTCCAATTAGTCAGTTCGGAGCCGCGATGGCTCAGGGTATAGAGCATTCGCTTTCTGGTGAGGTGAACCGGGTTCGAATCCCAGCTATAGCAGGTCAATACGAATTCCGCATCCTTCCCGCACAGACCACAGTGTTGACATAAATTATCCACGGTGGTAGACAGATCATGGGTTAGAGTCCCCTTGCTGTCAGGCTAATCGTGAGAGGTTTTCGTGGTTTTCCTCTCCATGTAACGCAAATGTGGGTTTGATTGGGGATTAATAGCATTATTTTCAGTACCAAATTATGCAGAATTTACTTCATCTTTCATTTGAATATCTTTTCTTGATTTTATAACATAAAAGCACAGGAAAAGGCAACATATTATGATAAAAATAGTTCAAAATTATTATTATTTTTTTTTATTGTTTCAATTTATGCAGCCTTTCAGCTTGTGCATGATTGCGTTGCGTTAATTAATGCAGATTTATTTAATATTTACGATTTTTCCACTTTGTAAAAATAACCACTATTTAACTATTAATAATAAAAATAAACAGAAGGTTCTGTCAAGCATATTTAGTCATGAATCTGACACAAGTTCGTGTAAAACCATAGATGTTTATGAGGAAAGTAATAACGAAATCACATTTTAAAATTCCTAATTTTTAAAAAAAAAGAAGTTTTGATTGGTTTAAGGTAATTGCGTATTTAAATTAACTTTAATTTGATTTTAAAATTTTATCATGTTAGTTTTACTTATGTGACCTTTTCGATGTGGTTTTCCATTCTGTTGAAAACGTGTGTCGCCATCTCTCAACAGACGATCGAACTACTTTTGTAGTAGCTTGCCATGCTATAAAGACAACATTCGGGTATTATTGTTGTGATTATAAAATAAAAGCTTATTGTTAAAAAAGATGTTTTTTTTTAATTAAAAATTTTGTTTCTTACAGCTTCTAAAAAGTGTTTTACTGAAAATATAAACTTTTACATATTTTTAATAAAATTAAGAATTTGGAAGAGTTTTAAATTTATCATACATATCATTATGGTGAAAGGTTCCAATATAGAAGGTATAAATTTTTGAAAAGAAAATATTTCGTTTTTTTCTTTCTTTTAGAGTTTGATTTGAAATCGCGTCTAAAGAGGTTATTCTCCTCAATTTTTTAAAGGGAAATCAAATATTTTAAAAGTATAGTTTTATTAATTTGGTTAGGGAGGCTATCAAAAGTTCAAACCCATCTTAATGTAATTGAACATTTTTCGTTTTATACCGCATTTCTTGAATACGTGGAATGAAAGAAAAAATATTATGTGCAGAATTATAAAAATCCATTTACAAAAAAAATCTTTAAAAATAGTTCAGGATTTCAAGTTTTACTATAGTTAAAATAGACGAGAAAAGGTGAGAATGAAAACCAGATTCAGAATAATTTTAAACATTCTATTTCAGATTTCTTAATCATAATTTAATTTTCAAAATAATATTACGAAAAAGAGTGGATTTTCAAGCACTCTAAAATCAGTTTTTAACTTTATATTTTATTATATTTAAGCCAGATGTGAAAAGATGAAAATGAAATTCAAAATTCAGAGAGAATTCAAATATTCAGCATTTTAACCATCGCTGGTTCTGAAATATATTTAAAGTTTTTGGTACAGACTAACAAAGTGAAACTGTGGTATTGAGTATAGGAAGGAAAATTTAATATCCTTATTTTAGTGACAGAAAATGAAATCTAACTTAAGACTGAAATTCTGGAAAATAAAGTTAAGATTTGTAACGCAATGATTTGTTATCCAAATTTTTTTTTCTTTTATTGAAGTCTTTTTTTTTTCCTTCTCTTTTTTCTTTGATAAAAATTTGTCCCTTTTTTTAAGGAATTTGCATGGAAAAAATATTAAAGCAAAGAAAATTTTCAAAAATGAAAATGACGCACCTGTTTTGCTTGATATAATTTTGTTTAAATTTGAAAATTAAGATTACACTGATACTTAGTATGGGTAAAAAATCAAAATCTTCCTTCATGTCGTTTAACAACCTTGGCGAGGAAAGAAGTCTGTGTTATCGATGCAGAACTTAAATTACTATTCAGAACAGAGGCCTCTTTGAAAAAAAAAAAATACTGAGTATCAAAAAGATAGAAAAAAACGTAATAAAGCGGTTGTTTATTTACATGTTGCTCTAGAAAGACGTTTAAATCTTTTAAATGAAGTTCTGTTTACATGTAAGATTGCGAATTGTTGTTCTTAAACGAATGAAATGGTTCCTTTAAAAGTCGTATTAAATGGTTTACGTCACAAGTGGAAGATATTAATTGAAAAAAAAACATAGTTTGCCTGTTTAAACTCTTAATTTGAATAAATTGTAATAAAAATGCTTGTTACAAATAATTTCAACAATTGTCACTTTTTTTCTTCAAATGAACTGAAATATTTAAGATTAATAACTTTTGCTCATTTCATTTTCGAACGAAAAAATTCATTTTTACAGTAATAAGAGTTTTCTATTTAAATAGTTTTTTATGCTGAATAATAACGTAATTTTTTAATCAATTCTTTCTAAAAGAACAAACAGTAGAACACAAAATAGGCAGAATAATCTAGAAGGGGGTGCAACCCTCTAACAAACTACCCCCCCAAAAAATTTTAAAATATTCTGTTATTACATTTTGTTTTGTTATTACATATACTTTCATCCGTTAATTTTTTTCAAGATACATTTCTTCATTGTTAACAAGATATTTAAAAAAAAAGTACGAATTTACGTGGTACGAAATGTGGAGGAATAGTGAAAATTCTTATGAATCCTCGAATACATCGATTTAGTTATTGAGGCCACACCGTTTTATCTAGCTGTAGCGGAGGCAATCAAAATTGGCCTAACTCTTGGCCTCAGCTACTTCGTGCACTATTGAACGCACTTTTAGTACAATGTGACACATCAAAATATGGAATCGGTCTACAATGCCTCACGAGAGATTAAGTAGTTATGCTCAGTGTGCATAAGAAAAGAATCAAAGATAACTCAGAATTCATTGGAAAAAAAACAGATTTGGACAGCTATCAAGACGATTACAAATCTTGTTTGATTAAACAGTTTTTTAATTGTTACGTATCAATAATTACTTAATTATTTGTTTTCGAATAAAAATATTTTTAATAAAAAAACTTTTGTACTCTACAATTGTTTATAAATAAAGCCAGGGGGTGCAAGTGAACCCCTTTGCACCCCGCTGCCGGCGCCCTTGGTAGAACATTTTATTTTCTGACGTGAAAGTTGAGTCTGGCAATAATTCATTAAAAAATGTTTTTGCTTGTGCTAAATAATATACTATGAATAATGTGATGTTTTTTTAAATCATTCCACAGATTTTGAGAGAGAATTAACTATTGATCAGTGACACCTAACTAGACCTAGTATGCATTTCAGACATTTACCAAAGCGACTATGTGATTGTCAACATTCACCGGTGGAAGTCAACAACCACCTATTTCGGTCAATCACAGTAACACCTCTAAAACATTATAGGCCAATCACATTAACAGATTAGCAACCTGTGTCATTGTTTGACGATATTCCTTTCTTCAAAGAGATACATACCCACTTTTATTTCATAATCAATTTTATCTTGGCCATCGAGGTATATTAGTAACCATCCACCGTTAAATAGCAATGCTTATTTGTTTCATGCTTAATCCTTCATAGGACATAGTACCTCTAACACATTATAGGCTAATAACATTAACAAATTAACTTACTATTTTTTAAATTAGATTTTTAAGACAATTTGCTTTGGTGAAGACCATTTGATGAAAGGGATTTTTCAGAAATTTAAGTTCTGTTGACAATTGGCGATAAACTTAAACTTCAGGGCTTATAAATAATCTTATATATAAATTCTATGCTTATAACTATAAATTAGCTGGGTGAGAAATGATCAAATATACGTATATCGCCCAAAAGAAAATATATCCTCAGTGTTGGCCTCTCTTCAAACTTTTATTATTTCCTATTATTTCCGCATTTTTGTAAACAATTGGTATTTTCTTATATTTTCTGAAGTTATTCAGCAGATTGCCGCTTGACACATAGATTCAGCAGATTGCCGCTTGACACATAGTTCCCCATTGACATTTAAAAATTAATCAAGTTGGTTTGAAGCTCCCTCGTCCTTATAACGAGTTAAACGAATTCACGCTGATCCTTATAACCTTTGGCAGTATTGCTCTGAATCCATGCCATTAGTATGCTTATGGAAGAGTTATAAATCCAAAAGACACCCACCTATTGATTTACTCACTGTTTATTTAAGACCTTTAAGGAAGTTTTCTGATTAATTTCATGATAAAGTAGAATGTTCAGAGGTATGTATGAATGTATGCACCTTATGCAAACCGAACCGTGCCTAATTTGGTATACATACATTTAAATACACGATGGAAATAACTGTCTACTTTAAAATTCTCTATGACCACTGGTTTGCGCGCTACATCCCAAGAAAAGAGGTTTTCATTGGATTTGCCAAATATTTTGAAATATTAGTTATTTGCTAGCTTACAGTTCTAAACAATCCAGAAATTAGTCTTTCGAATTATTTATCTTTGGTTTTGTTCTATGTTTCGTAATCACAATGTTGATATTTAATGTTGATGGGAAATTGATTATACACCTATGATCTGTACGGCCATCTGTTGATAACTTCAGAAAATACAAAAAAAAGGGAAAGAAAACAAAAATGTAAGTAATAGTAAAGGTAAGTGTGGGATCAAATGAGATGTTAACACAGGAGAGAAATTTTCTCTCGAGTGTTATGTCCTGATTCATTTTATCATTTCTTCCTGTATCTGTAGTTATAATTCGCTTATTTAAAAGCATAATGGCCAATTCTGCTTTTAATGCTGCATTGTGCTGTGGGTGCTACAATGGTGAAATTTTAAAAATCTTACCCACCTTTAATTAATTGTTTAAATGTTTTTAAAAATAAAATTAATTTCAAGCTAAATGAATTTCTTTTTATAAATCAATCTCAATTATAAAAATATTTCAACAAAACATTACTAGAAAAAAAATATCTCCTAAAGAGTTAAATTCACACTTGGCTCATAAATCATAAGTTAAGAAAAAATTAATGTAACTTACCATTTTAATCGATAATCCTTACACAGTATTCCACGAAAAAAAAATTGATTATTCTAAGAACACCAGTTTTCCAACTAAGAAAAGAAATCAAATGATGGGCTGATTTCTAAAACCGCTGTTCCGTCAGCGATGGTTAATGCGGAAAGCGAAAAAGAATTCTATTCAGCAAACGAGGCATCTGGATGATACTTGAAATGTTGTGACGTCATTTTTTTCCCTTTAAGTGGTCCACATGCCCAGCGCCTAAAAAAGCCTTTCATAAAGAACATCTAGGGTTTCCTTACATCGTCCACGTTCGGCGGCTAAAAATATGGCCATAACATTTACAGCTAAGAAAACAAACATTGGGAAAGCAGCGGACTTGATGTAGGAGTTGAGGGAAATCTCGGAAAAAAGAACGGTTTCCATTTTATTTTATTTCAAACGCTTTTTTTTTTTTTTATCTTCTGCGTTCTTTTTCAACCTTCAACAGTTGAAGTACACTAGACAGTCATTTTTCTTTAGAAAAACGGAGAGAAAAACAAATAAAATTTGAGAAATCGCCTCGGTTGCGGTAAGAACAACTCGGAAATGCTCAGGGTTAATGAAGTTGAGTTGAATACGTGAAGACAGCTTAGAATTACTTACCTAGTAGTTGAAAAAAATTAGGCATAATTTTGAATTGTTATTCGTTTAGTGTATTAATTTATTTAAAAGTATGTTCTGAAGTTCAATTATCCGAGCTTCTTTAACCTCTGTTACTCAAAGTCGATTCCGAAATGCGTCTTTTTTTTTCTTTTTTCTTCTTTATCTTTTTTAACTTCGAACAAAAACATAGGGGTTTGTCTTCCAATTTCATTAATATGTTGTCATAATTCTACAATACATGAGATCATAAAAACACTTTTCGTACTGCAAGATTATTCATACAATTGAGAATTATGTGCGTAAAAAAAAAAATTTTGTTAGGATTTCATTGTTCGAATTTACCAAGCATAAGTGAATAAGTGATAAAATATGTTTCACGTGACTAGTAAGATAATAGGTCCGATACTGGGATTCAAGTTTTTTTTAATTTTTATTTATTATTATTTTCGATTTAATATTGTGCAAAATTGGTCTGAGAAACGGAGATACTTCAATCCTAGAATATCATAGAAATTATTGCTTTTATACAATAGAAAATTGAATAGACTGATTTTCAAGCAATATAGATTCCCAAACATTTTAATGTAATTCCAGAATAAGAAATTATTTCTCAAATAATATATTATTCCTCAAATAATACATTATTNTTATGATACCTCTGGGCGCTTGACGTAACAAATCCTTCAATTTTATAAGTGTTGTATCGCCAAATGCCCAAATTAACAATTGCAATTTCAAATTAATATTGAAATGTACAGGTTTAGAATCTTCCGCAGTGAAAAGTTTTCGGAATTCAAAAAAGTATACAAAAGCTAGACGTTAAGAACGTATCCAATGAGCGAGCATAGCGAGCAGATTGCGAAGCAATCCGAAATGAACTGCGAAAGCAGTTCCGGGGGTTGGCGAGCGCCAGCGAGTAGGGAGCGAAGCTTCCTAGTATATACATATTTTCTTATTATCCTCAATTTATATACATTTTGAAGTCACGTTGGTTTTTAAGCTATTCCTTATGGTTCGAATTTTTTTTTTATAGTTCCAAGGCCATATAAGTTTTCAAACCATTTAACCAAATTAAAAGGTTCTCAAACCGAATGATTTCCTGAGAAATTTTACTAAGTTCCTGCCATATAGGTTCCCAAACCATTTTATATGGTTCCTAAGCCATTCCAGAAAATCTTTCGTTGCTTCCGCGGGTTTTTGCATGGTTACCAAGCCATACAGTATACCCAACCATTTTATGTGATTTCGAAATAAAATTTTCATTTCATGTGGTTGCCAAGTCATATAGTTTTCTGAATTATTTAATGCGATTCCTAATTTATTTCATATGGATCGCAAACTGAAGTCCCTTAGTTATTTTAAATGGTTCCAAAATCCTCCAATAGGTTTCCAAGTCATTTTACATAGAATCTGCCATATAGGTTCCTAAGATATTTTTTTGGCTCCCAAGATACGTAGATCCTCAAGTTATTTTACTTGTTACTAAGGCATATAAGGGTTCTAAACAATTTTATATGGTTCCGAAGCCGTATATGTCACACCCTTTTGATGTGGCTATTAAATTCTAAGAATTCCCTAGCCACTTTATATGGTTCTTAAACCATATAAATATCCAAGTCATATATGCTCCTTGGACATTTTTATAGTTCCGGAGTACGATAAATAGTTTATATTTACAGCAAAAAGCTGAAAGAACATCAAGGGAAAGGACTTAAATTTACAGTAATTTTCGAACAAATTGGAATTTCGAATCAAAATTGGCATTAATTTCCCCAAATAAAAATGGCTATTTCTGCACGTCAAATAACCCTTATATTAACATTTCAGCGGGCTACAGATTAAACAAGTATGGTATTTTTCCCTATAAGTTAAATAGTTAACAATTTTCGAGCGATTTGTCAAATCTTAATTTTTTTAATTCCACCATATACCCTGTACTTTTTTTTTTTTATACATACCTTCGTAACTACAAGTTTGTAAATCTTATTATATTAAATCTTATCTATTTCATGCATAAAAGCAAAGCGTAAAGTAAACTAAAAAAAGTGATAAAAATTCTTATTATTAATTTGATATAAAAAATTGTATGTTCAAAATTATTTTGTGTATTCAAAATTTTTTCGATTATTATTAAATAAAATGATAAAAAGTAGTAAATATTTACTAAAAGTTATTTTTTGTACGGAATTATCTTTGGATCGAAATTTATTATAATGTGCAAAAAAATTTCAATTCTCTTAAGTTTTCAAGATATAGCGAAATACGTAAAAAGTAAAATTAACATTAAGAGGCTAAACTTAAGAATGGTCTCCTGACCAAATTATAGGGACCATATTTCTCAGGTTGAGGAAACCCCCAATATTTTGTGGGTCAGATATCCAAATCCGTCGAAAAAATTGTGTGCTTATGTAGGGAAAGTACGTTTTTATGTCTAGTATCGTAACTTAAAATATCGTCAGCATTTATTAATTAACATATTTGAGATCATCCGTTAGAGCCATTAAGATCGAGTCGTAGAACGTGAAAATACGATCGTTAGATCAAAAGTTGTTCAGGGTGGTCCGTTTTTTAAGCGCAATGTACATTTTTTATAACGTAAAAGTTATTATTTATTCTAACTTAGAAAATTTTATAGAATAATTAGCAAGTCATTTAAATTCTCAAAACTTTTTATATGATTTCCAAATCGTGTATGACCTTTAGTATCTTAAAGCCTCCAATTATGTTACATTCAGTTATTCACAAGAAAGTTTTTAAAGTTATTTGAAGTTCCCAAGCTATTCTTTATGGTTCCTAAATACTTTTTTAGGTTCAAAGGCAAATAAATCTTACAACCATTATAGTTGCTCTCATCTGAAAGTGAAAAATTCTTTTTCATTTGAATGTTATTTTTTATTTTGATAAATTTATTTAGGAAATTAATTTACATCTTTTTATGTGAAACAATAGCTAGTAAGATATTGTGAATGAATGTTATTGTGATAGGTCACTAGCCCATCGATTACAATTGTAAATTATGGTCCTTACAAGCATAAACAGAAACTGTTACTGTTTGTAATCTTGATTACAAGTAAGTGAATAACACGTAACTGACATATTTGTAATAGATTATCTATAATTCCGATACAGTGAGAATGAGGAATATACTGTACGCCTTTCAAAATTCCACTTTTTTCATAACCTTCTTAGCCACTATGATAAAAAAGAATAAAATTTATATATTCTTTGTTTATTATCACAATGTTGCCCAGGGAACGCCAAGCGAGGAGGCGAGGTTATTTTATTTTGACTGCTAAAACAATAAGCACAATTTTGGACTGTAAAAATAATATAGTTTGAAGTATTGTAAATTTCTTAAAAATACTTCTAGGGACAGAAAACTAACGAATTTTTTTTTATTTTTTAACGTAAATATAAGTATAACATTAAAAATCCTATTTGTGTCTCAGAAACAAATTTTAGTTCCCAAATAAACATATATTAATTTTTTTCCTCAGATACAGAATTCAGAAATGCGATAGAAATATATTTTGGTGGTGTTTCATACTAATTTTCTCAGTCTTTGTTCTTCACTGTATTAATTTTCAAACTGATAGATGGCAGCACAATATTTTCTATGCCACAACAGTTAAATTTTTCAAACTATTTTTGTGATATTAAAACAAAAATGTAAGTAGAAGACTTCGATTGACGTTGCAGAATACACCATTCTACGAATAATTTTTCGAAGAGTAGATAAAAATGTTTCTGAGATATTTTAAAACTTTTTTGTACATTAAACATGTCAAACGTTTTTGAAAATTTCTGAAATCAATTATTCTAAGTTGGTGATAAGTGCTTTACATTAAGCAGTCAAAATAGTTCCCCAAAGGAGCTGTCCGTTTTGTTCTTAATCACATTCCAGTTGTTACAACCGCTACAGCCCCCCGAGGAGTAGAGAGAATCAAAGACCCCGTGTATCCCACAATAACATATCCTTACAGAGAATGCTGCACGTTCTTCCAATTAAAAAGATATTTCACAAGAAACAATGAAAAGATATAATAAATATAACTAAAGGATTACTAAGCACTTGATTTTGAAGTAAAAAGTGCCAAAGGAAAACTTAGATACTTTATGTTCTATAACTTAAGATATAAAGCCAAAAGAGAATGATGATAAATTTTGCTTAAATGCTAAATCTCTAAATAGAGGAACAGTGCTAAATATTACAAAGTAAAAATATCAAAAAGATTTTAAAAATAATTTAGAATATGCTGGGCCGCAATGATATCTTTTTAATGGAAGAACGCACCACAAACTCTTTCGTGACATGATAGTGTAGGACGAACGAAATCTCCGATTGTCATCTCTACTCCTCTACATTCCTTTGGAAAAGTGGAACTTTTATTAACATTATGAAACAATAATTAACATATTTTTCGAAACATTTATTTATAGTTAACTTTTAATAATCATTTATTTAATTAATATATGTTATTTTTATTTTTGTGTTTTTTAAGTTTGTGTTTAATCAATTAATATGTTTTTTTTTTATTAATAAGTATTTTGAAATTTAGATACATTATTTGTCTAGGCA